CAATCGAACCAGAGCTCGGAAACCGATCTCGCCGGGTATCGCGCAACGAAATCAAGACCGATAATTATCTGGAATACCGGAGAGATTAGGCGGCCACGGTCAACGGCTCGTGAATGCGAATAATTCATGTCTTCTCCCTGCAGCAAATCTCGCGCGACTTATCAAGGGCTAACGGAGCTCTGCAGTCCAAAACTATATTTCTCGCAAATGAGCGGATATATCATCAAGTATTTCGGTCTCAATTTCATCTAAATCTAATTTCGGCTGGTCTAACGTGAATCAAAGAATTTTTCACTCGCTAGAGAAATTTATGGAAATCCCATAAACTCACAGCTTGCCGATTACAGTCGCTTGCAGATTCGAATGCTTGAAGAATTAGGCCACCGCGACGCGTTACGTCGATATAGAATCGCAAGGAGTGTAAGTGCTCGCGAACGTTTGCCTCTCCCTCGAGTCACGCAGTAATCGAAGTGGATGGACCGGTCGGGATAGAGCCACCCGTTCGATGGACGCGTTGAAACCGTACGAAAGATTGAGCGCAACGAGCGATTTGACATCACTCGTCTCGGATTTCCGGGCGGGAGAGTTTACGCAACACAGGCGAGAACACTCCGCAGACACATTCTATTGTCGAGCTATCCGTTACTCTCGATGTTAGATATCTTTCCCGGTCTCGTTTCCGAGATGGAGAAAAATAGAAGACGACTATAACGAGTTCAGGTCGCGGAACAAAAAGGGAGCGTTACGGGAAACGGGGAGGGAGAGGAGGTCTCCACGCGGAGCCATTTTTCACCTTCTCAGGTGAACCAGCTGCGACACCGTTCGCTTTCTTATACATATTTTTCGTTCTCCTCGTTCTTCCTCCCGGCCGTAAAAACCTTGCGATTCTTCACCTCGTTTCCGCGCGGAAACTCTCCTCTACGACAATCGATAGAAACTCATCGCGTCTAGAATAAAATCAGGTGCGTTCGTTCAGATTCGTCGAATCGGCAAAATTAATTCCCGAGACGTAATATCGAGGTCTTCTTACTTTAATAAATAATCTTCTTGTTAAAGCATATTTCATTTTCCTTCCAATTTTATTCGCATTTCTTCTTTTTATCGCGTCATATTATTCCCGATCAATCCGAACTCAAAATCAAAATTCTCTCAGTTATAACTGATAAAAATTCACGGGGGAGCGACATGTCGCTCCTGACGACGACAAAAAAAAAGCATACGTCTGGAGAATTAACTTTCAGTCGGCGCCCTTCGAGCGCTTCCTCTTTAATTGGCCAGTGCGAAGCGATTCTCGTCGAGTTATCGCGCGTTCTGATCGAAGTGAGGAAGGGTCCTCCTCTGTGTGTTATACTTTATTTTTACACTCCATCGAAGCCTTTAATAAGCAGATTATTCAACCACGATATTTCTCCCGGCCTGTCTTTATCCCGCGACAGTCGCGCCCTTCGATGCCGTCGCCGTCGTCGTTGTCGTCATCGTCGTCATGATCACCATCGTCGTCGTCGTCGTTGCCGCCGCTCGCTTTTCTTTTCCTTCCCTCTCGCTATGCCCA